CCCCCATGCGACATTGAAGAGGTGTGTCAGCCAGGACAGCCCAACTATGTCCAGCGCTTTCAGCATCTCAGGGCGGATCTCATCCACCCCCGGCACCTTGCCACCAAGAGGCTTTTTGACTACCTCAGCGGCCTCTGCCAGGGATATGGGTGAGCCTCCCCCTAGATCTTCAGGTGCTGCCTCCTCTGCAGAGGACATGTTGGTCGGGTTTAGGAGTTCCTCAAAGTGCTCTTTCCACCGCCCGACGATGTCCCCTGTCCGGGTCAGCAGTCCCCCCCCCCCCTGCTGAGAACAGCCTGGGGTAAGCCCTGTTTTCCCTTCCTGAGCCGTCGGATGGTTTGCCAGAACCTCCTTGAGGCCAACCGAAAGTCCTTCTCCATGGCCTCCCCAAACTCCTCCCATGCCCGAGTTTTACCATTCGCGACCACCGCAGCTGCAGCCCTTCTGGCCTGCCGGTACCTGTCAGCTGCTTCGGGAGACCCCTGGGCCAACCAGGCCTTGAAGGTCTTCTTCTTCAGCTTGACGGCTTCCCTCACCTCCGGTGTCCACCACCGGGTTCTCGGGTTGCCGCCACGACAGGCACCGATGACCTTCCGGCCACAGCTCCTAACGGCCGCGTCCACAATAGAGGCTTTGAACATGGTCCATTCGGATTCCATGTCCCCAACCTCCCTCGGGATGTGAGAGAAGTTCTTCCGGAGGTGGGAGTTAAAGACCTCCCGGACAGGGTCCTCCGCCAGACGTTCCCAGTTCACCCTCACTACATGTTTGGGCTTGCCGGGTCTTTCCAACCGGTTCCCCTGCCATCTGATCCAACTCACCACCAGGTGGTGATCAGTTGACAGCTCTGCTCCTCTCTTCACCCGAGTATCCAAGACATACGGCCGCAAATGAAATGATACGATTACAAAGTCGATCATTGATCTCCGGCCTAAGGTGTTCTGGTACCAGGTACACTTATGAGCCACCTTATGTTCGAACATGGTGTTCGTTATGGCCAAACCGTGGCAAGCACAGAAGTCCAATTAATGATAAGCAGCCCACGGTAATGATAAGCAGCCCACGGACTTTAGCCACCTCACCCGGACCAGGGAAACCGGGGCACCCTCCCGGAGCCAGACCCAGGAGGGGAGCTCTTCGGCGAGCGTCTGGTGGCTGGGCCTTCGCCCATGGGGCCCGGTCGGGCTCAGCCCGAATAAACAGCATGGAGCAGCCACCCTGTGGACCCACCACCCGCAGGGACAAGCATCGGGGTCGGGTGCAATGCAGACCGGGCGGCGGGTCAGGCGGGAGGCCTGGGCGAGCCGATCGCCGGCAGCATAGACTAGCTCTAGGGACGTGGAACGTCACGTCGCTAGTGGGGAAAGAGCCAGAGCTGGTGCAGGAGGTGGAGCGATACCAGCTAGATATAGCTGGACTCACCTCCACACACAGCGCTGGCTCTGGAACCAAGCTCCTGGAGAGAGGTTGGACTTTGTCCTTTTCCGGAGTTGCCCAGGGTGAGAGGCGCCGGGCGGGAGTGGGGATACTCACGAGCCCCCGGTTGAGCGCCGCTGTGTTGGAGTTCTCCCCGGAGAACGAGAGGGTCGCCTCCATGCGCCTACGGGTTGCGGGGAGCAAGGCTCTGACTGTGGTTTGTGCTTACGCACCAAACAGCAGTTCGGAGTATCCGGCCTTCTTGGAGTCGGTGGGAGGGGTCCTGGAAAGGGCGCCACCTACCGACTCCATAGTTCTCCTGGGGGACTTCAATGCTCACGTGGGCAATGATGGAGAAACCTGGCGGGGGGTGATTTGGAGGAACGGCTTGCCCGATCTGAACCCGAATGGTGTCTCGTTATTGGACTTCTGTGCTTGCCACAGTTTGGCCATAACGAACACCATGTTCGAACATAAGGTGGCTCATAAGTGTACCTGGTACCAGAATTTCAGCCTGTCAGTGGTAAAAAAAAAAAAGCACTTTTAGTACATTGAGAGTGCAGCACCTGTAGCATCTGCGGCTCTCTCGCTTAATACTCAACCAATTTCAAAAATAGTTGTCCGCGTTAGTCACTTAGACAAAAACATGGGGAAATAAGGTCCAGGTTGAAAAATACCAAAGTTAGCTTTTAACTAAACAAAAGTCCCTCTAAAATCTCACTTAAGGTTTACCTCATTAAAAAAAAAAAAAAACTAGCAGCATGTTATTCCCAGTCTTTGCACACAGTTTGATGTAAATTATTTTTGAGATTTTTATGTGTTGTTTCTCAGTGCCAGGCATTTTAAAGTTGACCATAAATTTTCCGATTAAGGTGCGTGGAAAATAGTTATTAAAAGAAACCTTTTGAACAGCAGCCAGCCAAGAACAGCTGTTTTTCCTCTGTGTTCAGATACAAGCCACTCTTGCCTTCAAGTGCAGGACCGTATATAGAGCCTGTGAGGCAAAACACACTGTGGCTATAATTGGCTCCGTACCAAAGTGTATGGCTCACTCCGAGCACAATGAGTCAATCAGCGTAATTGTGCCAATTAAGTGTCCAAACATCTTCTGTGATCTACCTCTGGGTATGGGAGTGTTTCAACAAGCTTTTCTACTTGGAGCCAATTGGCAGGCCATCTCTGACGCACATGGATGTGAATGCAACCCCCCCATCCCAAAAAAAGAAACGTAACACACACACACACACTGGCAGCAACTTTTATCAGAGTGTCACCACATGGACCGATGTCTTTCTCTGTGCTGTCGGGTTAAACTAATGAATTTCCGTCTATCGAGGTCTGCTCTTATCTGCACTGTTGCACCTCGGCTATTCTGACACTGTCTGCTTCCCACCCTCCCTCCCCTCACACACACACACACACACACACACTCATATACACACACACACACACACACAGGCACCTCGGGGCAGGATTGATTGTTTCTCTGTCATGTGGGCTGGCCTATTCACCTTAGCCCTGTGGATGATGTTCCCATGCTTCTGTTAAAAGGGTGTGTGCACGTATGTGTGAGTGTGTGTGTGTGCGCAGGTGTGTATGGAAGAGAAGGATGAAACACATTTGGGGACGAGGGGTTTTGGAGCGAGAGCTTGGAGGGGCACACTACGTCATTTACTGATCAAAGATGCCGGCGGGTCCGACATGGGATGGGTGGTCTACCGAGGATGTTTTTGTTGCTGATGGTTGTAATTCATGTCAGCCTCCTTAGGGTGTGATTAGGAAAGTGCAGTAAATTACATAAGTGGCTATAGATGAGGTCTTGGGAGTCTTATTTCAAATAGGGCTATTACTCGTAGACAGGCATGAAAAAGATAAGGGGAGATGGAAATAGAGAACGGGTATATAATCCACCTAGGAGTAGCCTCAGGCCAAACAAACAGGTGTCTGCCTCCAAACTGGGTGGAGCAACAAACAGATCTGGGACCATGATTTACCGGAAAACAAGGTTATGTGAACATGTGGACGTTTGAGACTGAAAGAAGTTCTGGGTTGTTTTCGATGGCACAATGCTAGAATAAAGAACGAATAACAATGTGACGAGATGAGCTCTTTCTTTGCACATTCCACTTGACGACAGGCTGCTAGAGAGAGAAGGATATCGAAAGTGAGTAAAAAGCTTTGAGGCTATTAAACTTGAGATCAACCCTAAAAAAAAGTGTTTGCACCGACATCTTTGTCAATTCCTCATTCTGAGTGTGAAAAGAGAGGAGGAAACTCAGGATCGTGTTTTTGATAGGTGAAGAAAAGAAATGGAAACGCCCTTCACAACTTTGCTCACAAAAGGCGTAACGGGATCGTGCAGCGCTGCGGGGCTTTTTCAAGATGCTACAATGAGGTGTGTCAGAAGAGAAGAGAAGAGGTCTCTGGCAATTACAGTCAGGTCTGGGAAAAAAAAGAGCAAAGTCATCTCACAGGGCTTTTTTAGTCGACAGGGTATCTATTCTTACAGTTCACACTAATCCTGAAATAGAGTTTAAGGCGCTGAAATGGCACCAAGATGAGCTCCCTCTGCATACTTGCTGCTTTGCTATCATTTATCAGCAATTTAGATGTTGCCATGAGGGTCATGATGTACAAAGTCGCATGATCACCCTGGAGATATGAAGCCTGCACAAAGCTTTTGAGGCTTTTTTATCGTCAATCCCACTCATTGCTTTTTGTCAGTGAAACCGAAATGCAAAAAGCACCGAGGGGGCCTGTTGGCCTCATTATGATGGGTTAAAAGTGCCTTGATGATGTTCAAAAGAGGCCAGAGCCTCAGACAAAGGCGTTGCCCCATCACCCATCGCTTTTTCAGGTCTGTGTCTGGCCCCGGAACAAAGGGCCTTACCCCCCCGACCTCCAACCATCTCCGCCCATCAAAGACCCATTGGTCTGGCCTTTGACTGACATGCGTAGTCAAACCCCTCAGAGGAAGAGGCTAAACTAACAAGCGCCAAGGGGTGCTACTGGGGATGATTGACACAGCCAAGATCATCTCCCTCTGAACAATATTGAGTATTCAGCCCTCTGCAGCGGAGTCGTCTGTTGGTCTTTGTGTTTTTTTTGTCCCTCATATCTCTGCCATCACCCCTTCCTCCCTCCCTTCTCCCCCGTCTCTTTTCACTCATCCTACATCCCCTGCCCACCTCTGCTTCCCCACTGAGGCAGACGGATCTGAAAATGCTGATGTGCATCCACACTGTGTTTTTCACGGTATATTTGTAAATGTACATCACAGCCAACATCTGGTAAAGAATGATATAAACACAACCCCTTCACTCTGCAGATTCTCACCTGTTCCAGAAGTGCCACGTCAGTTTGGCTAAGGCAAGAGAAAAGGGCATCGCAAAAGTCCAGACAGAAGGATACGTCGTTAGTTGTATCCTATCTGGAGAAGGTTTATGAAAAGCTGAATATTTGGGTCCGAAACAAACTCGGCTTAGTCTCAACCGGAAGCCAAAATGGAGAGGAACAAGATATATTATCAAGTTTAACCAGCTTAGCGTGGACATGGTCTAACTTCTACCCCTCTATGTCTGCAGGAATCCTGATGGGGACGTTCAGCCGTGGTGCTACATTGCAGATCATGAAGACGGGATCTACTGGAGATACTGCAACATCCCTACATGCCAGAGTAAGGGACCGCCTTTGTCTTTCTTTTGGTCTCTCCTGCCCTTTGTTCTGCCCTTCCGAGCTCTTAGGACCGTATCAAGGGCATGCGGACCAGCCGTTTTGATCGCTATGCTCATCTGCTCGCCTGCCTTGAATAGCTTTTATAGACTGTTTGGCATGTTCACAGCTATTATAAAAAATGTCTCTAATTGCCTCCCGTCACCCCTCCTCCGGCCATGCCCGGGCCTGCCCTTACTTTAATGTGAGCTGTCAATCACTGCCTCTGTGTTTGTGTTTGTGTGTGTGTGTGTGTGTGTGTGTGTGTGTGTGTGTGTGTGTGTG